AAGTGCACATCAACTTATTACCAGAAGCATTAGGCAGCTGCTGCCAAAGTGTGGTGTTTTCAAAATTGTGAGATTTGAACAACTCACTTCAGGAGCTAAAACAAAATGAGAGTGGACAAAGAGGACTCTGACTGTGATTTTCTTTATATTTTGGAATATTTAGGATGCTCTGGAAGACTGAAAGACACAAATACCATATGATTTTTTTTCTTGGAAAGGATACGTGAGATGTGCTGGATGATTGTAGGTTTGTTGGCCTGATACTGAGCCCAGACAAACTAATTACACAGCTGATGCTGGCTTCAATTAATAGAGTACTAAAAGAGAATAATGAAGTTAGTACCAGGCAACATCTTGCCAAATTACGATTTTGATGAGGTGAAGAGTTTGGTTCATAAGCATATTGAAGATATTCAGGGTGTTGCATAACATTATTGTACAAAAAGTGATTTAAAAAATGCTAATCTGTTTGTATTCAGGAAATTGCCACGATGCGGTTGAATCTCTGGAGGGATTCTTTGTGAAACTGTTCACAGACCTTTTAATACTTTCATCAGTGAAAGAAAGCATGCGGTCATTGCTCACAGCTTGCAAGTGGTGCAGGGGCAGAAGTGAGTGAGGAAGATGAGAAGTGACAGACATGGCTGAACATGGTGCTGCATTGCTTTGTATTGGGGCACAGAGAACACCGCTCTGCTGGGTTGCACCCCCTGGAAAATGGGCACTTAGGCTTTCGGAGGATACTTCTGTTTTTTTGGCTAAGTAGTGGTGGCTAGCATGGCCAAAAGGGCTAGCGTGGTCTTTGGCTGTACAGGCCCAGAAGTAGGTGTAGGAACCTCTCTTTTAGCATGAGCCCAGTATCTTGGGAAGATCGGTGTAGACAATAGCAAAGAGAAGACAGAGGAATGACTTCACCACTAACTATAAGTATGTAACAGATGGCAGGCATTTTCATTTATTTTCCAAAACTTTATAAAATCCAGTCAAAGGAAAACAAAATGCAGTCTGGAAATACGGTGTATGTTTCTGCGGGTGAAATAGCACATGCTCTAACTATGAGCCAAGGGTAGAAACTGTATTGCTGGGACGTGACAGCTTGAGTTGTCCTGTATTTTACTCGCTGATGCTGTCTGGTGCAAAGAGGATTTAGTCTGGGGAGTTGCTGTGCTGTATGGCAGGTCAGACTGTGAGATCACACCCTGGCTTTTGTCATGGGCACAGTCGGTGGCCACCATGCTGTTCGACTGTTTATTAGAAATTAGGATACTCTGCAGAGAAAGCTGTGGCAAACTATGCCAAAGCAGCACTTGTTACAGCCTACAGATGCCTAGAATAACAATGGAGTCTTCTAACTTGGGTCAATAAACAGTGAAGACCTGCCACCTCTTACACGTGTCCTGCTTAGTCACTGCTTAGCATCTGAGCAAAACCAGCCTCCCCCAGCACGCTAAGTCCCCTGTAGCACCTTCTCCTTGCCCTTTATCTTCTACAGAGACCTTGCTATTCTTTCATTCACGGCAGACAAGGTTGTTTTGCCACTTCCAGTGTCTTTTCGGAGACACTGTCACCTTCAGAAAGTAAAGGTCATGGAAACTCCTTCCTAATGGGCAGGAAAATTACTGCCTCCCTACAGGCTTTCTACAAAATCATAACAAGCAAATGTTATTTTGACATTAGCGTCTTTCCTATTGGTTATGGTAGGCACAGATCCCTGTTGGTGTTGTCAGTGATAGTGGGTATGTGCATAAGCCTGCAGAGAATCCTTTCTCAGGGTTATGATCTTATTAACTCTCCAGAGACCACATCAAAGTCAAACAAATAGAAAATAAATAAGCTAGTAGGTTTAAATTCTTTTTTTCATCCTCATAGTTGGGAGCCACTGGCTCTTACAAAGTTATGTTTGCTAGAGGGTTTGGAGGAAACGGTTCCTCTTGCCTCTTGGCAAAGAGAATATTTGCAGAGCCATAAGAGGGACACGGGAGCAAAACTGAAGCTTTGACTCCTGGCCTTGTGCTGTCCTCTTTGTGGCTTCCTTCAGGCTTCGGTTAATGCAGCAGCCCAAGAAGCCTGGCTTTGCAAGTAGCATCTGGTGTTTGAAAGGCTGAGGTTAGTGTACCAGCAACTAACTGTGATGTACAATGGCTTACAGGTCAAAAGCGCTCGGAGTCATCCAGTCACTGAAAGGATAACGACATCATACAATTTTGTGTTTAAAATGTTACTGCTTTTATGAAGATAGAAGTATTTATAAGCTTCAGCCACCTTTTAGGACCTTCATATTTCTCACCAGTAATGAGAAAGCATTTTATCAGCAGAATACAGTTAAAGTAGAACTGTACTTCATCTGCTGGGATCACAACAGGTTAGTTTCCTGTTGTCTTCTTGTTTGTGTCCCATCCCTTCGGAAAAACATAGGTAAAAACATCTTTGGATAGCCTGCAGTGAAATTACTTACTGTGTGTAAAATACCATCCTGCTGTGAGATCATCTCCTAAAAATTAGAAAATTTGATCCGTTATATTCCATTCCCTTTCAGGCCCCACATTGTTCCACATAATTACAGGTATGAAGTATGGCTGAGAGCCATCAGGTCATCTCCAAGGACTTTTGCTAGTAGAGACAACCAGAAAAGAAGGTGCAAACTTCTAGAGTGTTTTGAGCACAGCTTCATGGGGACCAAAGAAGTCCAGAGCTTCCATACTGATGATGCTTTGGCAACTGTGTTCTCTGTGAGCTCGCTAAACAAAAAGTGGCAGGGCAGGAAGAGGATACTTCAGAAGTATCTCTCGTTCCCCAAGTATCAGTGAACTCTCCTCCAAGTCCAAGTGATGGGCATCTTTCTGGCAGTAAGTACAGCCACGCATCATAGCCTCTTCCATCCTTACTGTCACCTCACAGGAGATGGGATCTCACGGGAGATACT